TAGCCCACAGCCACAGCGCTAGTTCCGCTAGAAAAACGACGACGATTTCACCAGTGCAGTCTCATCACATAAAAGTGAAGCGAATTGCTTGAATATGTGCTGCTGAAGCTATAGCATCGAGTTCGCTGAAGTTTTATGAGCTTAATGGAGCTAAACATACATCTGGGAAGAAGATAAATGGATGAGAGCTTAAGAAGTAGATGAAAGTGAACTGACGCTCGTGCATCAGCGAATTTGATTCGAAACTGAACTAATCTCACAAGATGCGAGACAAGAGAGGCTCTCGCCCCGTCAGATGCAGTCATTTCACAGCTTTTTGAGCACTTCCCTTTCTGGAATGTCACACTCACAACAGAAACCTATTTTTGTGCTACGAGACACCTAATAGATGTGGTTTTCGCGTAGAGCAAGGGCATAGAATAAGTCAACACAAAGCTAGCTTAAAAATGGATGTGCTTTTCGTTTCTAGAACAAAAAATCGTCGCTTATCCAGGTTTCTTTTGCCTAGACAAACTCATCAAAGCAGGATACTACCATGAAAGAAACGTTCTGATGAGTTATCTGCAATATCGCCCGTAAAAAAGGAAGTTTTTTTCGCTGGCATTTCAAATTTCTATAATGGATGTACACTTTTTCTAGATATGAACAGAACTCCTGAAGATATATGTCTCAGCGATATACCTAAAATGTCTCAAAAGTGCAGAGAACTGCTTTTTTGAACAAAGCAAAGACTTCCTCTTAGTCATTAGACACCAGAGGAACGGGGAGATCTGACATCCCCAAGGGACGTGGCGAGGCAAAGACAACTGTTTCAAAAGCTGGATTTAAATTGTTTGTTTCGAATAGTCTCTATTTAGCACAGAGAAACGCGGCACATTCGTACTGACTTAAACTTTTTTAACAGTAACCCTCTAAAATAATAAACTTTCTATGGTAACCCTCTAAAAATGGGTGAAATTGAATTTTGTAAGGGCAGAGCTACAACATCGCAATAAGCAACTTACAGATGTCCTATCTGACAAAATTTTGAAGACAGTTGATAGTCAAATAGCCCTCGCTTGAGGGTTTAGCTAGAAATAGCCCTGAAGCTGCAGTATGGATGATTCGACGACGCAAAGGAAAAATTGGTATGCACACTGAAGCGAGTAGAGTCTTTGGACTAAAGCCTTTAGCGTGCATACTAATTTTTAATACTTGTTAAAATGAGCACTAAAAATTGGTATGCATATTAAAGCAAGTACAGGAAGTACGAAGTACTCGCTAAAACGAGCATTTCCTTGAACGGTACTATAGCAAACCGAATTATAACTAGTAAGTTCAAATGTTGTTTTTCTAGAAAAACTTTCACGGGTTAGTAGATGTACTAAAGAAACTACTTGTGTAAAACTAGAAGACTGCTGCAAAACAGGGCTGTTTAAAGTGTAGAATTTTGAAAGTAGAACCAATGTCTGGAT